GGGATTTTGTATTTATCTTTGATTAATTTTTATTTAGTTTATTTTGGTTTATTTTAATATTTTGATTTATTATATAAGAATCAGGCTCTTTTCTTTTCACACCCCCCCGTTTTCTTCGTTCTCCCAACAGTTGTTCAGTCGCATCTCATCTCTTCCAAGCGTAACTCGTTTCTGAGTTTTCGCTCCACCATATTATATAACGTCCGAACATTTGCAAAAAAATTTTTTAATTCATTTGTCTTATCACATATCCTAACGCTTCACGTTTGATATGTATACTTTTTTAATGTTTGTGCTTTTCCGAATTATCGTACGCTTCTTTTGACTGTAAGTTATTAAATATTTATATGCCTGCAATATTTTAATGTGTGTTTTTTTGTATTTTTATAATATATAGCTTGTCGCTGATGATGGGATAATGTTCCCGAAACCGGTACGACAGTAAATTTAATTAAACTAAGCAAGTAAGAAGTTTTTCTTTGTTTTATTTATATATTTCACACTTGCAACATGGAACAAAATCATTATTTCTATACATATATTTACGACTTCTAGAACAAATAAAACTAAAAAAAAATAAATATACACCATAATGTGCAATGGTGTACAAAATACACCGCGCGAGTAGTAGCGTAAAAAAAAGGTGCGCGAGTAGTTAAAGGTTAAGAGATTGCGACTCATTTTTTGAAAAATTAAAGATCTTTGATAATTTAAATGAAAGAACGGAAAAAATAAAATTTATTAAATGCATACGAATAACCATAAATGGTTTATTCCATTTATGGGAACTATTAAAGCAAACAACGAAAATAGAATACCTATTTACAAGACGCATTAATCAACACACCCTGGGACAGAAAATTGTGAAGGCGACACAGACGCAATTTTATTGAAGTTGGGAGAATGCAACGAATTAAAACAAGGTGAATTCTCCAACAAATGTAAAATTGAAGATTCGAAGAAAATTCGAAGATTTTTAGTTATTATACCAAAAGCATTCTCGCTAACCCGTCTGGCTCTACTATCCTCTTAATGACCACCGTTCCTAATTAGGAACGTTCCGAATTTAGCTTGTTGTGACAGTTATGCAAACTGAATTTTGCATATTGCAATTGATAGACCGTTGTTCTTATTGAAGAACATTTATATGTTCGAAGAATTTGATCGTTAGTGCCATCTATCTGAGATGCATATAACTACAAATTATAACCTCTATAGTGCAACAGTGCCAGACAGATTTGTGGACTTTGGTGGTAATTTTTATATATTATCGGTAAGTATATTACAAAAATAAAAATACGTTATGTAATGTGGGTTCCCTATTAGCGAATAAAAGCAAAAGTTTTTGTTTGAATAGAAAATATACTATCGAAAATTCAAAAAACGGCTTTGTTCCTTCTATGGAACAATGGTCACCAACTTGAAATATTTTCCTAAGAGAATATCTTCCTTCTTTTCAGATAAAATGTGGCCAAAACGGGGGGAAATCCCCAGTGATAGTGAAGACGAGAATCTGGATGATTCTGAGGATGAATTCATCCCTGAAGATTTACCCGAGAATAGCGATGATTCATCAAGTGATGAAAGTGACGAAGAGAAAGAGTCGCGTACAACTTGCACTTCAAATCAAAGTAAAAAGAAGAAGTTATACAATTGGACCAAAGTGAAACGAAACTCCATTATCTACACCTCAATTTACTGTTGAGATAAACTCCCCAAAGAATACCCCCCAAAGATGATGAGCCAGAAATTGGAAGGCCTATACATTCATTATTTCAAACTGTTTATGGATGACGCGTTATTGGATCTGATTGCAGAACAAAGTAATTTACATGTCACCCAAATGGATGTTAGTAAATCTCTTCAACTAACACGTTCAGAGCTTGAAATCTTTATAGGCACTGTGATTTACATGTCAGTATTTAGTCTTCCACGTAGCAAGCTCTTCTGGAAAACTTCTTGTAGGGTTCCACAGGTGGCGGATTCTATGTCAAGAAAGAGATGGGAACTCATAAAGAGACATTTGCATTTCAATAATAATGACAACATTCTCACAGATCGGAATAGTCCCAACTACGATAAGCTGCTCAAAATTAGACCAGTCGTGAACAGGTTGCAAGAAGCATTCAAAAATCAAGACAAACCCCAGAAACTTTGCGTTGATGAGCAGATTGTGCCATATAAAGGAAAATCATCCCTGAAACAATACAATCCCAATAAACCAAACAAATGGGGCTACAAGATCTTTGTCTTGTGCGACGATAAAGGTTTGATACACAATTTTGAAATTTACACCGGTAAAATTGAACCTGCCCCAGGAAAGGAAGATATTGGAGCAAGTGGAAACATTGTTTTACGCCTCGCAGGTTCAATACCAACACATCATAATTATTTATTATATTTTGATAATTGGTTTTCTTCAATCAAACTTATGACAATTCTTCATGAAGATGGAATATATGCATTGGGAACAATAAGAAGTGATAGGATACCAGGACTGAAACTGCCCACAGAAAAGGAACTCAAACGACGTGGTAGAGGTGCGTACGACGAATTCAGAGCATCAGTTGGAAATGGAATAGAACTACGAGTGGTACAATGGTTTGATAATAAAAGCGTTCGTGTTGCTAGTACATTTCGTGGAGCCCAACCCGTAGATACCGTCCTAATATCATCAAACAATATAACATGTTCATGGGTGGAGTAGATTTACTTGATGGACTGATATCGTACTATAGAATTTCGCTTAGATCTCGCAGATGGTATCTCAAACTCTTTTTTCATTTCATAGATCTGTGTCTAGTAGCAGCTTGGATCAGGTATCGAACGGATATGCGAGAAATTGACCTTCCGGCGAAAGATATTTTGGATTCGCTCGAGTTCCGGTGTGAGGTAGCTGAAGCACTATGTCTGTCAGGCAAGAATACTGATTCTAAAAAAAGAGGTAGACCAAGCTCAGCTTCTTTAGAAAACGAGTATGCAACTAAAAAGAAGAAGGGGCCCACAAAACCCATACCACAATTTGATGTTAGAACTGATCAAGTTTCTCATTTTCCGGTGCACAAGGAAACAAGACAGCGATACAAAATACGAAAATACGACACAATGGAGATTGGCGAAACAAGAGTTTTAATCAAAAAAAGAAGAAGTAATGAGGATCCTGTAGTAGTAATGATTCCGATTGAAGAATGCTTTGACAGACTTCTTCAATGTCACCGTGCCACTGGACATGGAGGAAGAAATAAAATGCTGTTTGAATTAAAAAATAAATTTTACATTCCCAGACCAGCAGTTGAAATGTTTGTATCGCTTTGTAAAATGTGTAATACGAAGAAATCTCAACAACAACGTAATATTGTGGTAAGACCAATCATAACAAAAGATTTTAACCTTCGCAGTCAAGTTGATTTGATTGACTTTCAATCAACTCCATGTCGAGGATATAAATGGTTAATGAATTATCAAGATCATGCTACTAAATTTTGTCTTCTGCGACCTTTAACAACAAAGCGTGCTGCTGAAGTTGCAATGGAATTGCTGAAGATATTTTTGGATTTCGACGCACCGCACATTCTACAAAGCGACAACGGACATGAATTTACAGCTGATGTGGTTAAAGAACTTTCTGGTATGTGGGCTGATTGTAAACTAGTACATGGAAGACCTCGACATCCGCAATCACAGGGAAGCGTAGAGCGCTGCAACCAGGATGTTGAAAATATGTTACGTTCGTGGATGGATGACAATAAGAGTACAGATTGGGTGATAGGATGCCGCTTCGTTCAGTGGCAAAAAAACTCGTCAAAGCACAGGATCATAGGGCGCAGTCCATATACAGCCCTTTTTGGAACGGAACCAAAGATAGGACTAATATATAGATAGGACTTCATGCTCTTCATGTTCCATGAAGATTCATAAAACTTGTTTCCAAAACGTTTGCTTAATCTCCGATGAAAATGATACGGAGTATCAATGCGATATTTGTAATAGACAAGAAAATATATCTTCACAACGTCAAAAAGCACACGAAGGTCAAAAACGAGCGGCAGAAAAAATGATTGAAAATACCGGGAAGAACCTAAAATCGGTCACAGTTGGAAATTTTGTTCTATTAAATGTGCCGAAAGTCGACCGTGGCCCTTTAGACGCACCAAATTTAATTGGAAAAATTCTTAAAATTAATAATGATGTTTATCAGATAGGAACAAAGAGTGGAATTATCAAAACATGGTTTTCTAGAAGTGACTTCCAAATTTCTGGCGCACAATTTGTTGAAGATATCCCCGAAGAATATATATCTGTTCGTCAAGCTGTAGCAAATGACCCAATGTTTGGAGGTCAAGGCTATAATACCTGTAAGTGTACAGTGTCAAAAACTCAATGCCAAACAAAAAAGTGCGTGTGCAGGAAAGCAAAGCAAATGTGTTCATCAAAATGCCATAAGAGTTTACCAAATGGAAATAAGTGAAAATAAAATTAGTGTTAATTTTAACACAAGTTTAAAAAAGTTTTTGTTAATTTAATTTTCTTTATATTATTATTGTATTATATGTTCTATTTTAACATTGATCTGAATGATCTGTTTAGTTAATATGTGATAAATGTTTATCAATAAAAACTTGTTCATCAAAAATTGTCGTTTTTCAACTTTCTTGCATAAAATAACCTATAATTAGTTCAAATACTTCAAGAATACTTTAAGGTCAGGTAATTTTCTCGGTATAATTTTAGTGACCTTATATTAGCCTAGGTTTATTGCAATAAGACTAGAAACCACCAGGCTTTTTGATGAAACTGGTGCTCACTTTCTAATTAGCCTAACTGTATGTGCGCTTATTATAATAAGCCTAAGAAATTTTAGGCCGATTAAAAAATGTGAGATAATTTTCCAATTTGCCAGGCACATTGCAAAATGATGTATATATTATTATTAATTGACATATATATTATTATTATTATAGCAAAGTAAATAAAATAAATATTGTCCTTCCTAACCGGCTGCTCATCCCGATTCTTCTTTGGTCATTATTTAAAATATTACAAACTTTTCGCTTTGTTTTGGACGACCTGAAGTGGACCTCTGCTCTACTTGTGAAGAACTAGGTACCAAATTAAGAAATCCGAATCTTTGTAACAATGCAAAGCGAGTAGCGCTAGCAGAGTTGATGGTCCATAAAAGACGAGCAAAAAATTCTATAACAAAATACAAGAAGTTCAACAGCTGTGTAAAAATGATCCTCAAGTCGCTGGAATCGCATTTGACTTCATGCAGAATTTGCCACTTCCTAATATACTTATTCAAGAAATTTTCTATTATAGGCAGCTGTGGGTATACCTATTTGAGATTCAGAATCTTAAGGACAATTCTGGATTTTTCTATACTTACCATGAAGGGCAACCAAAAAAGCCACCAGATGAAGTCTGTACTTTTTTATATGATTACATACAAAGTCAAATCCCGCTAGATGTTAAAGTTTTGCTCATTTTTTCGGACGGGTGTTCTGGCCAGAATCGGAATAATACATTATTTTCCAGTTTGAGGACACTCTTTTCTCCCTTGTGATAGGGACTTTGGTACACTAAAGAAATTAGTTAGGAAGCATGATAGGGTTTATGTCCCAGAAGAATATCAGAACATGATATTGAAATGCAGAATCAGTAGAACAATTCAGTTAAAAAGAATCACTTATCACGATATTAAGGTGAGTGTCCCAATTGTTGACAGGGATCCAATAGTTGACAATTTGTTTTGTTAACGTGATATTAAGAATGGTATTTATGATAGGTTGATGTATGCGGCCTTATTTTAATCTCTAAAGTATGTACTTCCATGCAAAAAAAANGAAATTAACAGCTAGACACTGCTTTAGTCGATTAACTTTCTACAAATAACTACATATTAAATTTAAAGTCGTACTTATGTTAACATAGGTGCTTGCAGTATGGACGACAATATCCAAACTGATGGAACTGATTTCCAGGACGAAAATAACATGAGAATAAGCTTTAATGCGCAAATGAAAGAATACTGCAATAAATGTGAAAATGTCGTAAAGAAGCCTTGGACAAAAGCAACTGTGGAAGAAGCAATTCGAGAAATTTTGGATGCAAATAACCCTGAAAAAAAGAACACTAGTAGACAATATGGATTAACCAGAAAATACGACACAATGGAGATTGGCGAAACAAGAGTTTTAATCAAGAAAAGAAGAAGTAATGAGGATCCTGTAGTAGTAATGATTCCGGTTGAAGAATACTTTGACAGACTTCTTCAATGTCACCGTGCCACTGGACATGGAGGAAGAGATAAAATGCTGTTTGAATTAAAAAATAAATTTTACATTCCCAGACCAGCAGTTGAAATGTTTGTATCGCTTTGTAAAATGTGTAATACGAAGAAATCTCAACAACAACGTAATATTGTGGTAAGACCAATCACAACAAAAGATTTTAACCTTCGCAGTCAAGTTGATTTGATCGACTTTCAATCAACTCCATGTCGAGGATATAAATGGTTAATGAATTATCAAGATCATGCAACTAAATTTTGTCTTCTGCGACCTTTAACAACAAAGCGTGCTGCTGAAGTTGCAATGGAACTGCTGAAGATATTTTTGGATTTCGGCGCACCGCACATTCTACAAAGCGACAACGGACGTGAATTTACAGCTGATGTGGTTAAAGAACTTTCTGGTATGTGGGCTGATTGTAAACTAGTACATGGAAGACCTCGACATCCGCAATCACAGGGAAGCGTAGAGCGCTGCAACCAGGATGTTGAAAATATGTTACGTTCGTGGATGGATGACAATAAGAGTACAGATTGGGTGATAGGATGCCGCTTCGTTCAGTGGCAAAAAAACTCGTCAAAGCACAGGATCATAGGGCGCAGTCCATATACAGCCCTTTTTGGAACGGAACCAAAGATAGGACTAAATTCAACTAACATTCCACAGGCAATTCTTGAAAAAGTTTTTAGTGAAGAAGATTTGGAAAAGTTAAGAAATGACGAATATAAGGGAAAAGTTGGAGAAAATCAAGATGAAAACCAATTCTCTAATGTTCAACAAGAGTTGTGTTTTATTTGTTCGGGATATTTGAATGAAACACCTTTTGTTTCATGCTCTTCATGTTCCATGAAGATTCATAAAACTTGTTTCCAAAACGTTTGCTCAATCTCCGATGAAAATGATATGGAGTATCAATGCGATATTTGTAATAGACAAGAAAATATATCTTCACAACGTCAAAAAGCACACGAAGGTCAAAAACGAGCGGCAGAAAAAATGATTGAAAATACCGGGAAGAACCTAAAATCGGTCACAGTTGGAAATTTTGTTCTATTAAATGTGCCGAAAGTCGACCGTGGCCCTTTAGACGCACCAAATTTAATTGGAAAAATTCTTAAAATTAATAATGATGTTTATCAGATAGGAACAAAGAGTGGAATTATCAAAACATGGTTTTCTAGAAGTGACTTCCAAATTTCTGGCGCACAATTTGTTGAAGATATCCCCGAAGAATATATATCTGTTCGTCAAGCTGTAGCAAATGACCCAATGTTTGGAGGTCAAGGCTATAATACCTGTAAGTGTACAGTGTCAAAAACTCAATGCCAAACAAAAAAGTGCGTGTGCAGGAAAGCAAAGCAAATGTGTTCATCAAAATGCCATAAGAGTTTACCAAATGGAAATAAGTGAAAATAAAATTAGTGTTAATTTTAACACAAGTTTAAAAAAGTTTTTGTTAATTTAATTTTCTTTATATTATTATTGTATTATATGTTCTATTTTAACATTGATCTGAATGATCTGTTTAGTTAATATGTGATAAATGTTTATCAATAAAAACTTGTTCATCAAAAATTGTCGTTTTTCAACTTTCTTGCATAAAATAACCTATAATTAGTTCAAATACTTCAAGAATACTTTAAGGTCAGGTAATTTTCTCGGTATAATTTTAGTGAACTTATATTAGCCTAGGTTTATTGCAATAAGACTAGAAACCACCAGGATTTTTGATGAAACTGGTGCTCACTTTCTAATTAGCCTAACTGTATGTGCGCTTATTATAATAAGCCTAAGAAATTTTAGGCCGATTAAAAAATGAGATAATTTTCCAATTTGCCAGGCACATTGCAAAATGATGGCGCTTATTGTAATAAGCCGGATTTTGTAATTTGCCTACGACATATATACCGAAGACACGTCAAGCAAGACTAACGTCAATGCACGGATGGTAGACCTCAGCACAATAAGTGAATTGAGCCAAAATAGAGGTTTCGCACAACATCTTTTTCAGATGAATACCAAGGTAGTGTCGATGAGGAAACAACATCCTCAAATGATAATAAGCCCTGGATATACAGTTGGAGACATGCTTCTTATAGCGAAAATTGTTGTCCATAATCATACCCACATTCTTTACCTCACTAACCAAAGGAATGTTACAACCATCAATTTGCAAATCAATACTTTCCCGAAAACCATTACATATAGCGGAATTTCCAAAAAGTATAGCATTGGATTTACTCGGATTAAGATGTAAACCGTATTCCCGAGCCATTTTATGAATGTAATCAAGGTCTTTTTTCATATTCGTAATACACAACGCGAACTCGCGTGGATCAAAGGAAACATACATCTGCAAATCATCAGCATACATATGGTACTCACAATGATTTATCCCCCTAACGATTTGAGATGTATATAAAGAAAATAGAATAGGCCCTAAAATAGTACCTTGTGGTACACCCTTGCTCAAACAGCGAAATTTAGACAAAGCATCACCGATTCTAACCGACTGATGCCTATTACTTAAATAATTTTTAATTAAGTTTAAAGCGGATTCACTGAAGCCAATATACTTTAACAATTCCACAAGCAAGTGATGACAAACACTATCAAAAGCCCTACTAAAATCCAACAAGACTACCAACGTACATAATCCTTTATCTCGAGCTTGTAAAATATCATTAGTTACCTTGAGAAGAGCAGTACCGCAGCTATGGTTTCTACGAAAACCAGACAAATTGATGCAACTGATTAAACATAATTCTTTCCAGAACTTTAGATAAAATTGGCAATATGCTAATCGGCCGCAGATCTTTAGGCTCAGATGGGTCACGTTTTTTTGGGATAGGAACCACAATTGACAACTTCCAACAGTCAGGTACTTCCGAAGTTTCAATGCAAACATTGAGTAAATGTGTCAAGTAGGGTACTATAAATATATAACATATAAAGACACATTATATATCAGATATTATCAGCACCGGCAGCTCTAGAAGAAGTTGAGGAAATAGCTTTTATTACATCAGATTCGGATACAAAGACAAACTTAAAATTAGTTTGAATCAAATTTAAAGGCGGTAAGTCATTAAAACTGAAACGCGTTGCAAGGTCAAAGAAGGGACTGAATCAATAAAGAAATCGTTAACCTCATCTGGTCGATTCAAGTGAGCAGGGATTTGCTGTGAACATTTCGTACCACAAATACCCAAATTATTCAATTGTTTCCACAGTTCAGCACCCCAAGACATCTGATATAAATATTCCAGATACGATTTTCTTTCTCTTCTAATGCAGGGATCACATGGCTCTAATAAAAATCATTCTTACCTAAAAATGTGTATGGCCTTAGTGGAACTGAAAACCTTCGAAAAAGTAGAAATTTTCTTTCTTGTCAGGGGCCATTCATTCTTACCCTGTGGCGGAGAGGTAGCGCTAGTTAGCATAAGATATTAGAATGTGTAACGGTCGTTGAGGAGCTAACCAAAAACTCACGTCACAGTTTCTTTTTAATCTTATATTAATGGTTATATGGTTAGATATTTCGTATTATACGGTTACAGACAAAACTTGAGGAAATGTAATAATTCGTTTTTTTTTTCATGGAACGACTACAAAAGACGCGCAACACACATTTACGTACTGATACGGTTCTAATTGTTTATACACCTAACGCCATCTAGTATCACGCTACACTCTCCCCCTCTGAACCATGAGTTGGTCGTCCAATATGGTTCAGCACCTTAGGTGAACAGCCTCTTTTCCTCCTCGACAAAATTGGTGGCACAGGTGCTCCAACGAAAGGAGTTAATTCCGATGCATGAAATTTTCCTATTATTCTGCTTGTTTCAGGTTCTTCTATTTCATAATCCCTTTTCTTATTGCGTATGGTCCATCTCGTTTTGGCGCTAATTTGTTAGTGAACCCTTTCGACCCTTTGCTCAACTCATGAGATCGAATTAAAACCACTATTGTCCAGGTTGAGTCTGGAGCAGGACGTCTGTGTATATCTGCGTATTGTTTTCGACGTTCCTGTTCCTTTCGTACATTTTCAGCAACATCTACCAGTCTGGATACGAATCGTTTCAAATATGGAGCCAGCTGCGGAATGCAATTATTGGTCTCCAATACCTCTCTAGCAGCATGTCTGAAATCATCCAAAGTCCGTAATTAAACGTCAAATAGACTGCAGAATATTCTGTTGTGGAACATGTTGCTGTATTTATCGCAAATCGAATCTGTGGGAGTCTCTCATCCCATGTTGTGTAATCATTTCCCACTAAGATAGCCAATTCAGGTTTCAAATCACGCTTTTTCCGTTCTACTAGGTTTGCTTCAGGATGATATACAGGATTCAAAGTCTGCTTGACATCCAGTATATACATTGTTTGCTGCATTACCTCAGAAACAAATTGCACGTCATTATCATTAAGAACTCGTCTTGGTAAGCCATATCTTAGAAATACTTCTGCCACCAAAAGTCAAGCACACGCGACGGCTGTTGCAGAAAAATTCAATCCATTTCTTTCGCTGTTTCGGGTAATGGTCCAAATAGGTCAATAGACAATTCTTCAAATCTTCGGTTGTAAGTAGGGGTTTCTAAAAATCCTGCTGGTTTTAAATTGGTTGGTTTGTACTTTTGGCAGGGAACACATGCCTTTATATAGTTCTGGATGTATCGCCTCATTCCAGACCAATAGTACCTTTTCGCTACTCGTTCAATGGTTTTCTCGCATCATGGTATTCCCTCATGATTTCGACTCTGCATTATAATGGCACTACGTATTGTGCTTCTTCTTCGTCCGATTCTTGAAAATAACGATATAGAACAACATTGTTCATTAAATAACCTTTTCCAGTCCAGTGAATGTAGTCTTCATTCGTAGGAACAGTTTCAAAGGGCTAATCCAACTCTGGATCTGCTAATTGATCAGACCGCAATTTTTCTAAACTACACCCTTTTAGATCAACAGTTACTGTACATACACTACATGTAGTGGAATTATCATCTGTACAGCTAGGCATCGAAAAAATATCAGCAATTCGATTCACCTTTCCGGGAATGTAGGATATTTATATATTATTCCACTTGGCTAGGCGTCCATTTGGCGATTTAAATCTCATAAGCCATCGAAGAGGTTGATGATCAGTCTTCACATGTATTTCCGAACATTCGATGTACCCTCGAAAATGATTTGTTGCCCAGACTACAGCTAAAGCTTCTTGTTCTGTTGTAGTGTAGTTTCTTTCGGCAGCTGTCAACAATCGACTGACATATTCAACTGGTTGTTCATCATTGCCTTCACCTTGCAGTAACACGGCTCCAATCGCATAATCACTTGCATCTGGTTTGCTTTCGTCCGCTTGACGTAGTACCGGTGCTGAGGTGAGCAAACTCTTCAGTGCCTCAAAAGCTTTCCTCTGAGAATCATCTCACATCCAAGAAGCGTTCTTTTTCATCAAATTCGTTAAAGGTTTTGCGACGTTTGTAAATTCAGGTATAAACCTTCGATACCTTCAAATTTCTTGGCTCAGGCATTTGAGTGATGGAATGAACCTTTTCAGGATTGACCGATATACCATTCGAAGTAATCAAATGACCCAAATATTTGACAGTAGCACACGCGAAAACTCTCTTCTCCCGATTGAGTTTCAAATTGTACATTTCAAGTCTTTTAAACACATCGCATAAATCTGACATATGTTGTTCGAATGTTTCTGAAAGAATTATTAAATTGTCCAAATAAGCGAAAAGTATCGATCAGTCTCTGGAAAGTTGCGGGCGCGTTCTTAAGTCCAAAACTCATACCGATGTACCGGAAAATACCGAACGGGGTTGTAAAAGCTGTTTTGTTTCTATCGCACTCACGTACCTTCACTTGGTGATATCCCGCACGCATGTCCAATGTTGTCATGTATTTTGTGTTCTTCGCTTGATGTAATAAGTCTTCAATCCTGGGCATAGAATACTTGTCACTGATCGTTATTGCGTTTAACCGTCGGTAATTTACGTCTTTCTTTGGAACTAGAACTACAGGAGCAGTCCAAGGACTCTCACATTCTTCGATGACACCTTCATCTAGAAGTTTGTCCAGTTCTCTCTTCAACAATTCTTTTTTGGGAGCACGCATTCGATATGGAGAGACGGAGATAGGAATTTGGTTCTTCTCAATGACAATGCAATGTTCTGCATAAGGGGTAAAGCCTCCCCCTCGATTGAACATCGGGGTACTTGCAAGATTCCTCAAATTCTCACGTTGACCTCGTGTTAAAGCCTTAGCCTCCTCTGGTCTGAATTCTATGAAACTTATGACAGGTGATGTGGCAGGTTGATGATTTCCATTTACAAAGCTGCATCTCTCTTCCAGATGCTCGCTGAAATACCATTGGTCCTTACATAAATCTAATACAAGTTGGACTTGGCGAATAACATTCATTCCTAGCAATGTACAATTGTCGTGGCATGTCGTTACTTTACAACAATGTTTTCTTTCGTAAAAGTTACTTTGTCTTTAATATTTTCGCAAAGTGTTTTATCAATAATGCTTCTTACTGCACCAGTGTCCAAGCATGCCTGACCTTTCAAGACACAAACATAACAAGAAATCGTTGGTTTGGAGAAGTTTGAAGCAGCATTCGTTGTGCTAGGGCTCATAGTTCCTTTCTTTTCTGTTTTTCGTTTAAGGCTCTCACAGTCGGCAAGCAAATGTCCGTAGATCTTGCAATACGCACACTTTACTTTCTTACGCGCACTATTGTCTTTGTCTTTTGCGTTCATTTTGTCTTTCAAATCGTCTTTGCACGCTAAAGATTGTTCTGCACTACGCGAATACTCGATTAAGTCAGTGAAACTTTTTACCGACTTGCGGCTAACATGTTTTCGAATTTTTCTACGCAATAATCCGTAAATCATATCAATTTGCATTTCTTCCTGTATAAGTCACTTGCGCGAATAATGCACGAGCATTACATATAAAATGTTCACTTTGTTCATTTTTCGATTGTTCTCTCGAAAATAGTTCGCAATATACCCGATATGGCGGTAAAACTTTGCTGTACGTAAAGTCCCTAGATTTACAAAGTACCGCGGTTCATGAAGCCTGTTTTCGAGCCAAAATGGCGGTTTGACAGCTTGTCACTGAATCTCACCACTTATTTACAAAAATATTGCCGTCTTGTTGCCTTTGGAGTTGCAAAAATGGCAGTAAGAAGGACTTTCGACTCTTCAGAGTAACACGAGAAATAAAGAAAGGAAATTTGGCGTAATGTTATCAATAGAACGACATAGTTTTAAATTTCCCGCTTGACTTTCGAGCCAAAATGGCGTCAAACAGCGGTACTTTGTAAATCTAGGGACTTTAGCTGTACGCGGAACGTAACGCGCATCAATCGCATCTTCCCACGACTTAATTGTTTGTTTAATACCTTGCCAATAGGTGGCAACATGATCTATTAACAAAAGTGGTAACCCACGTAACGCATTTTCATCGGAAACTGATACGCTTCTAATTGTTTATACACCTAACGCCATCTAGTATCACGCTACAAATGCATATTTTTATTGAACTAACACAAGACCAGATTTAGCGACTGAAAATAAAAGGGGATTTACATGTATACCATGATGAAGGTATAGTAAAAAAGATTCCCAATGAAAATCATTCTTTACTAAAAATGTGTATGGCATTAGTGGAACTGAAAATCTGCAAACAAGTAGAAATTTTCTTTCCTGTCATTCATTCTTACCCTGTAGCAGACATTTCGAAGCAGTTAAGAAACTTTTACGCGAAACTGTCCAGATCTATACGCCTGATAAATATGAGGTATTAATGAAAAATTCAAGCAAAACAGGAAGATTTAATATAATAAGAGACTACTGAAGAAATAAAGGAGTTTAAGAAGTGGTGGCCTACATTTTACAAGAGATCATGACAGTTATAGAAGGCGCGTCAAAAAAGAAGACAAAGTTTCAAGTTATCTTCCATGCGTCAGTTTATTATCACTGAACCAAATAAAGTAAAAGCTTCTATCTCTCCCTCATAAATGTTTCAATGGATTAAATCAGATATAACACTCAGCGCGATTTTTTGTCTCGCCTGTAAAATTTGATTTTTGCTATATAACCCCTTTTTACAACTGCCAATTGAATTCTTTCTTACTCCTATGATTAAGAAATTAAGTAGACGATCGATGCTAGTCCTCTTAAATTTGGTCTTTCCACTGTTTTGCATCAACTTTGTATCCTTCCCAGCGAAGATGACGACTCCATAGCACCATTGAGTATTACGTAAAACGCAGCCGCGCAAAATAATCTTGTCGTTATCAAGAGAATACTGCTTATTTTGCCAGGTGAGTGTACCCTCGAATTTATTTAAGAGATTATTCGGTTGTTCACATATTATTTCACCATCAAATTGGCTAATCAAGCCGTCGTCTTGCGCCATTTCGGCCGTTTCCACCAGACACTGTCTACATTTCAAATTTGTTTCCCTAAAAAATGTATGTATTAAGATAATATATTAAAAAAATAATAATTATTTTACCCATCTAATTCTGCCGTTTCGATAAAGCACAATCCATTTGGCTCGCTAGTTGTAAGTAATAAGATATCAGCGGCTACAAATTGGTTGTTATCCATTCGAATGATATCACCAACTTGAACTGCAGACCATCGTTCTTGTACGAGTTTTCCGTTTCTTACTGCTTGAGATTTTCTATTGTTTACTTGTGAGTCGGACATGTGACGTTGCTAAAAAAATAATACTTTATTTTTGCATTTAAAAATTAATTTAGCAGAACTTGATCATAATTATATTAGAAAATATTCATACAAAATCATCGTAGGCATCCTTGATGGCGGTTAATCCGAGGACGCCAATGAGAGGCAGAGCCGTGGTGACTGGTGTTAAACTGCTAATTGCCGGGATGAGTTGCAATACTAAAAGGCACAAGAAGTAAAAGTTGGCGAGACGTTGGAACTGCTCGAACAGGTTTAATGGGAGGAACGTTAACACTGAATATTTAGAGGTTTTAATGTAATTATCCTGCAAAATAAAATTATAATCAGCTGAATTAATTAAATAATAAATAAACTTACCGCATAACGGAATTGTGAATTATAATTTCTGTCGTTAGCCTTGATCCTTCTTTGATTATCTAGAAAAAAAAATAAAGAAATAAAAAGTGAATAGAAAAATAGAACGTTTTTAATCAAAAAGAAATTAAATAGATTGGAAATATGGATTGGAAATGGGACATACCGGATACTCCTAATAAGGCTCTTTTTAAAGATAGGGAAAGTCTCTTTATGGTGCTTGAAGATACTTGGCTTCGACTTTGCGATAAATTACCTTTATCAGTCATTTACCATATTTGAAAATGTTCTTTCTACAAAAATATCAAACTATTTTTAATATTATAACCTAAGTTATTTTATGACAGCTTTCATTAAAATATTGTCTTGTCGGAATAAACTCGAGCAAAATTGTATGTATTTAACGAAATCTATCGAAAATTACTTGAAATATACCTTCTTGATTTTTTTTTCAGGTAGCGAGATCTTGTACATGTCTTGAAAAGGTTAAACCTAAAGATTAAAAAAAGAATTTGTTTGATGGGTAATACCACCTTGTGTGTACAAAGTCATAGGTTATTTTTCTTATAAGATAAAGTGATAAGTAAATCAATCTATTATAGACATATTTATGTAAGTCACAGAGAACAATTTTGTTGAAAGAAAACAAATTTATTTTTATTTTATTTCAAACAAAACGGCGGTACAATTAATTGTTAACGAATAGAACATGTTGATCTGACTGCGCACCACGTAATGGTCGCAATTTTTCATTTAGAAGAAAAAATCAAAATGATTTTGGAAGAGCATGCCTAAATGTAGTGAAGTACATAGGATTTTTAAGAAATATTAATTATTACAACCAATGGTGTTAATATGAAGGAAAAAAATATTCTCAATGAAGAAATCAATTGAAAATCGGTCATAAATCGCTTTATTTTAATCAATTGAGTATATCATTAGAAATGTTCCTGATTATTTTTCGATAATACAGCTGTTTTACGAGCAACTTTTGCCTCTTTAGTCAGGGAACGATCAGATCGCACGATGCTTCTGACCAAAATTTATAACAATTAAGTCCAATTGCAAGTTATGAATCAAGTTGATTCATAACTTGCATTATTCCTTTGTATAAATAAACTACTGCAAGGCTCATGGCAATATCAAGGATAACTTTGCCACTGAAAACAGTTTTTGAAGCCATTACGTTAAAACTTTCTTCTAAGCAATGCGTTAGCAACTCATCGCTGCTCAACTCTTTGTAAATAGGTTTTATACCCTCAAAAACATCAGTTGTCATTGCTGGATCGTGCTCGTAATTAATTTCATCTCCTGTAACTACTTTTCGTAATTGCCAAGCACACCACGATCTTGGGCCCTCCGGTCATAAGTTATATTAAGGCTTCTCATTGGTCGAAATTTTATGGTATAAACTGGCCCAAATAGCTTTTTTCATATCCTCGATAGAGTTGCATGTGTACGTATGGGCAGTCCATAATAAATTGTAAGTTCATCAACGAACTTGCCTATTAATTTACCTCTGCCGTACAATTTTTTAGTCCTCGCTAGATTCCGGGGCCGTGTTCCCATTCTTTTCTGAACGTGATCGATGCATTCTTTTTTATGTACATTCGGATTTTGTTCAGAAATTGCCTTGAAGGTCTTACAATCACTGTCACACACATAATTAATATAAGTAATACAATTTTTTCTTATTAATAAATCTTCCTTTCTGTGAAATCTTTTTAAGTAGAATTCGATGGAATAAGTTAGCTTTCCCTCAAAGCAATATTTTAGTGGTTATTGACAAAAAGTGATTTTTTGAAATGCAACACCCTATATATTTTTGCAAATTCGACGAGAATTAACATAAATAAATTTCCTTTCCAAAAATATAGCATACTTGATAGAACTCTCGTTCAAGTCTTCTTTGAAATATACAACTTGGAAACTTTTAAGATTTTTAATTGCGTACTAGTAGGCTAGTGGGCTTTGACGGCGCTTCGACAAAACAAATGCATTGTTTATGAGTATCTATCTGTCAAATTTTGATTCAAGGTGTAAGTGTTAATGCTTATCGTTAGAGTATTACTTAGTTGTCATCAACTTCAAAATAATGTCATATAAAAATTATGAAAAATGGGACATGATAGTTTGTTTTATACAATCTGGGGAGAATGCAGAGGCTGCAGAAAATTTATATCATGAACGATATCCAGATAGGCGACAACCTTTTAATGATATTTTTAGAAGATTGTGATATAATCTACAAACTAGCGGTCAATTCGAAAAGAAAAGATCAAAAACTTATACACAGAATGAAGACGGGGAATTAGAAGAAGTAGTAGTTTTAGGGGCAATGAAAAATAATCCAGATATTAACGCGGCAATTAAGTGTAACGACGGGAATTCCAAGAACCAAAGCTAGGCAGATTTTGAAAAAATTCAGATTTAAGCCATACAGAACTAGCAAAACCCATTACCTCAGACCAGGAGATTTTGAACGGCGCATGAATTTTTGCTAATGGTTCTTCGGAAAATATGACAAAGCACGCAATTTTTCTTTAAATTGTATTTGGACAGATGAAGCGTACGGGAGTAGTGTTGGTGCACAGCACAAATAAAATATTTGAATATATTTAGGCAACAAATCGAACCTGTTGTTGACGATTTACCTACAGTGCACCTGCGAAATGTACTTTTTTTTACATGATGGTGCCTCACAATGCTGCTATTGTCAACAATTTTTTGAACGCAGCTTTTGGTGATTGTTGGTTGGTAATCAAAGTTCTATTTGTTGGGCGACTCGGTCACCGGACCTAATATCTATGGATTTTTTCCTTTGAGGAAGATGTTATCTATAAACAGCCAATAAATTCCCGATAGCAATTAGAAGCAGCAGTTGTGAACGTTTTTGCAACACTGAGGCCCTATCAACTCGGCAAAAAGGGCTAAAAAAAGATGTCGACTGTGTATTACACAAACCATTTTTGGGACATTTTGAACATTTGAAATATGAATTGTCACCTCTTCCGGTGTAACCACAAGTACCCGGAACCTGAAAATACTTTAGTTAAAAGCTGGCATCAAACATCACATCAAGTCTGCAAATTTTCAAACCTCCACTTCATTCGGTTATTCACTAGGTCGCACTAGGTATTCATGGCACGCTAGGTTAAACATCGATATGATGTGTGTGCATTTTTCAAAAAACCCTAATTATCTCCCAAACTATAAATGTTAGGTATAGGACATATGGGATATAAAAGATGTAAAATGAGACACTGAAGACGACTAAGCAATAAAATATGGGGGGTGCCATTTAAAAAAATTAAGTTATGATATTTCCAAGTTTCGAAATGGTAACGTGCCATAGTAAAGTGACCAAACCTTTTAGACAGCCGTACTCGACACCAAAACATACTCCATCATGTTGCTTAAGCATGTTCTGAATCCTAAATTGATATCTCGAAAATTGAGTGTTCTCTGATTTTTTGAACAAATGTCTGTAGGAGCAGGTTTTTCTAGAAAAATTCGAATAACTCGAGAACGGCCGAATCAAATTGCAAAAAGTAAAGTTATTCATAAACCTTGAAAACAGACAAATCCAAATATGTAAAAATATACAGGGTGTTCCATTTAAAAAAATAAAGTAGGTGGCGTATTTTGGCCAGAACCCTTTAAAGTTCTAATGGACGGTCGTCGTGGATGGCCCTGTATATTATTGATGATAATTGGAGTCAGAATTACATTGAACAATTATATAATCTTGCGTTCATATAGATTATGTTTCATGTGTACGTATTTCCTATTTATAGATCAAAATGAGTGGAAAAATCGTAAAGAAAACTAAGAATACAATATCTGTAGGTAAAAAATTAGAAATATTACGTCGGTTTGATGCCGGGGAAAGAGCCGTAGATATTGCAAGAATTCTTAATATACCCGTCACTACCATTAGATCCATATGTAATCGTGAAACAGAAAAAATCAGAGAAGCTGCAAAAAATACAAACTCATTTATGGCACAACAAATTGTAAAAGGCAAAAGTTCTTTAATTATCCTAATGGAATCTCTCCTCTCTACATGGATAGAGGAACAAAATCAATGTAAAGTACCACTAAGTAGGACCAACATACAAGAAAAAGCTTTATCCATATTTGAAGAATTAAAGTCAAAATCCGAACATGTTCATAAAGACGAAATTTTTCACGCAAGTCGAGGTTGGTTTCAAAAATTTAAATCAAAAGTTAAACTGCACAATGTAGCATTGAAGGGCTTTTTTCAAAGATTTTAAAAATGTTCTCAAGAACATTATTGCACAAGGCGGGTATTCTACTAAATCAGTTTTCAGCGTAGACGAAATTGATCTCTACTGGAAAAGACTACCAAAGAGAACTTACATTTCACAACAAGACAAACATGCATCCGGCTTTAAGGCAAATAAAGACCGAATAACTCTCTTCTTCTCAGAGCTAATGCGGCAGGTGATCACCGCCTCAAGCCTTTGTTAATTAATACTAGTCAAAATCCAAGGGCAATGAAGAATCATCAAAAAAATTCATTACCAGTTCATTGGAGATGGAACAAAAAAGAATGGATGACAGCAACTCTATTCCGAGAGTGGGTAAGCGATGTTGTTGTGCCCGAACTTAAAAACTATTGCTTGAAAGAAAATAATGATTTTAAAATTTTAAATGTTAAATCTCCTGATCTAGACGAAATCTGCGAAAACATAAAACTTATTTTTCTCCCGCCTAACACAACGGCTCTTATACAGCCCATGGATCAAGGTGTCGTTTCTAATTTTAAAGCTTAATATCTACGTAGGACGTTCAAACAACTTTTTCAACATCTCAATGATGAAATCTCAATCAAAGTAATATGGAAGCAGTTTAATATTTTAAAAGCAGTCGAAAATGTTGGAGAATCTTGGATAGAAGTCAAACAAAGTTGTTTAAAAGGGGTTTGGAGAAAACTGTGGCCAGAATCTACTGAAGATGTCGAAGGAGCAGGCACTGATGACCTCAAAGGGATTGTCAATGATTTGGTTCAATACGCAGAAGAGGTACTTTTTGAAGG